ATTTAGCCTCCAGACCCCTTACAATCTTTGTTGCTCTTCTCTGCCCTCTTTCTAGAGCCTCAGCGTCTTTTTTTTTTTTTTTGTATCAAAACTCTGTTTTGCAGGAAAGATTTTTTGCTGTGCTTTTAATACAAACATGTTTTTGTTTAATGGAAAACAGTTCCTTATCATCATCACTAGAGACTTTTGTTAGGAGTTGATGAAAAAGCTTCAGTGTTGCAGCCCTCGGGGTAACAAACTAGTCCTAATTTGGCATGCGTGTTGATTCGACTTTGAGGTCCATCTTAAAAATCTTCTTTGGAAAAAATGAATAGGAAAACAGGGCCCTTTTTTTGCTGAAAGATTTTCCAGGGCTCAAGAAAGAATCAATCACGCACACTTCACAGATCAGTTAGTCAGTGTTGTTTGAGTCTTGATTTTTTTATTTTAGATGTGCTCAAAGCTTTTCCCAATCCTTTTCACTGCTCTTTTTCCACGAAGCTCCATTTTTGATGAGTTTATCTATTATTCCTTTGTTAATCCTTTCTCTTTGAATCTAATTCTTCTTCTCTAAACCTCCAAATCATCTGTGGATCTTAATACCACGGGGTGTGTTTTCTAAAATGTAGAAGTATTTTAAACCAGGTGGCCACCTGAGGCAAAGTTGGAAATGCACCTGGACTCAGATTAAGGTGCATCGTGCCCACAGTATATGAGGCATAAAATCTCCTAAATACCTCTACCCATCCATAGCACTAAACATACAATCAAACAGAAGGACAGTACTACCATATGCTGTTCATCCTGGATACCTACATTTGCTGCCTATGGAAACTGACTCCCTGGACTTAATTGTAGACCTGCCCATAGTCTAAACCAGGGATCTTCAAACTTGGCCCTTTTATGACTTATGGACTTCAATCCCAGGATCCCTCAACCAGCATGCCTGGCTAAGGAATTCTGGGAGTTGAAGTCCACAATTCAAAAAAGGGCCAAGTTTGAAGAGCCCTGGTCTAATGTTCTCAATGTCAACCATCTTTAAGATGTATGGACTTCAACTCTCAAAGTTCCCCAGCCAGCCTGACTGAATTTTCCAGGTGTTATTTTAAGGACAGAGAATTGGTTGGCTGTTCCAACTCATTAGAACTATTTTAAACCTGTACAATCATTTTGAGGTTTTTTTTCCTGTCCTTAAGGGTCAAGCTGAAATTCTGTGATGTAATAAGTGGCTTCAATTACACATAAATAGTATCGAAGAGAAATTTTCATCAACTTGAATAACCTAAATTGAATTAATAAATATCAATCAGAATAGAGCTGGAAGGGACCTTGAAGGTCTTCCAGTCCAACCCCCTGTTTAAGCTGGAGATCCTATACCTTTTCAGACAAGTGACTGGCCAATCTCTTCTTAAAAACGTCCAGTGATGAAGCCCCTACAACTTCTGAAGGCAAGCTGTTCCACTGGTTAATTGTCCTCACTGTTAGGAAGTTTCTCCTTAGTTCCAGGTTGCTTCTCTCCTTGATTAGTTTCCATCCATTGTTTCTTGTCTTGCCTGCTGGTGCTTTGGAAAATAAATTGGCCCCCTCCTCCTTGTGGCAGCCTCTCAAATAGTGGAATATTGCTATCATGTCACCCCTAGTCCTTCTTTTCTCTAGTCTGGCCTTACCCAATTCCTGCAACTGTTCTTCATATGTTTTAGTCTCCAGGCCCTTAATCATCTTGGTTGCTCTCCTTTGCACTTTTTCCAAAGTCTCAACATCTTTTTTGTAATGTGGTAGCCAAAACTGGATGTAGTATTCCAGGTGTGGTCTTACTAAGGCTTACTAATACTTCATGTGATTTTGATTCTATGCCTCTGTTTATATAACTTGTATTAGCTTTTTTGGCTGCTGCCGCACACTGCTGGCTCATGTTTAAGTGATCGTCCACTAGGACTCCAAGGTCCCTCACAGTTACTATTTTTGAGGCAGATTTCACCTAATCAGTACTTGTACCTTTTTCCTGCCTAAGTGTAAAATCTTGCTTTTCTCCACATTAAATTTCATTTTGTTGGATAGGGCCCATTGTTCAAGTCTGTCAAGATCTTTCTGGATCCTGAGCTTGTCTTCTAACTTATAATCTATATGCATGAATAAATTATAAGATGAGGAATCAACTTCTGTTTTCTACAGGTGGTAATCAAGTAGATTGTTCTCAAAATAAATGTGATCTCTTGTGAGTTCAAGGAGGAAACAAAACACAGTTACATGAAATAAAATTATTACAAGCATTCTATAGTTGTAGATGATGTGAATTTTTATGCAAATTTGTTTGAACTTACCGTACTGGCTTGATTTCTTTATTTTTATTCATGAAATTCATATGCCCACCCATATCACAAAAAAAGTAACCTTGGGTGGTGTAGAATAAGACTACAATTATAAACAGATAACATATAAAAATAATTGTTATTTAAAAAATTAAAATCACAAAGGCTAAGAAAGAACTGCAGATGTAAACAACAATAGAGCCACCTCAGTACTTCACCAGTTTCCTGGGGCTCCCAAACCTGATGGCATAACCAGGTTTTGAGGGACTTCCAGAAAATCAACAGAGACGCTTTATTTCTCTTTATTGTTTACATGCATTTTTCCTTGTTTATTGCTTCAATACTTCCTAGCAAAGTTTGCAAACTTCTGTGTGTTTCTAGGTAGGTGGCCTGAGAAAGGACACGGACTTCCTGAATGACCTTTCAGATAGAGAGCTGCCAAGGCCCTGCTCCTGATAGCATCCAGTAGAGTTGTGTGTCACAGCAAGCTGGGGGACCACTATCATCAACATGCATCAGGAGTCTTCCAACATCCCAATCACCCATAAAAAATTCAGTCCTCTGTTGCTGCTGGTGGAAAAAGGGCTACCCTGGCCTCCCAATCAGGCAACACAATTCCTCTAATACAGCCAACAACCCTCTCCAAAGAAAAGAATCTGGGGGAGGGATTAACATCTGTGTGCAAAAAAGTACACAGCACCAGGTCAGAACAGAACAGAATAACAGAGTTGGAAGAGTCCTTGGAGGTCTTCTATCTAGCCCAATCCCCTGCTCAAGCAGGAGACTTTATACTATTTCAGACAAATGGTTGTCCAATCTCTTCTTAAAAGCCTCCAGCGATGGAAAACACAACTTTTGGAGACATTGATTATTGTTCTCGCTGCCAGGAAGTTTCTCCTTAGTTCTAGGCTGGATTTTTTTCCTTGATTAGTTTCCATCCGTTGCTTCTTGTTCTACCTTCAGCTGCTTTGGAGAATAGAATGACTCCCTCTTTGTTGCAGCCCCTTAGATATTGAAAGACTGCTATCATGTTACCCCTCGTCTTCTCTTTATTAGACTAGATCAGGGATAGGCAACCTTGGCTCTTTTATGACTCGTGGACTTCAACTCCCAGAATTCCTGAGCCAGCCATGCTGAGGGGAAAGGGAGAGGTTTCCAAGCTGAGCCATGCTGGCTCAGGAATTCTAGGAGCTGAAGTCCACGAGTCATAAAAGAGCCAAGGTTGCCTACCCCTGGACTAGATATACCCAGTTCCTGCTATATTTTAACCTCCAATCCCCTAATCATCTTTGTTGCTCTTCTCTGCACTCTTTCTAGAGTCTCAACATCTTTTTTCTATCGTAGTGACCAAAACTGATTATAGTATTTCAAGTGTCACTAAGGCATTATAAAATGGTACTAATATTTCACATGATCTTGATTCTATCCTTTTATTGATGCAACCTAGGGCTACATTGGCTTTTTTGGCAGCTGCAGCACACTGCCGGCTCATATTTAAGTGGTTGTCCACTAGGACTCCAAGATCCCTCTCACAGTTACTACTATTGAGTCAGGTAGCAACTATTCGATAACTATTTTGGTTTTTCTTGACTAAATGTAGAACCTTACTTTTCTCACCATTGAATTTCATTTTGTTGAATAGCATCAAGGGACCATCTTTATAACTTCCATCAGATCCAGGGTTCAGCAAATGTGGCAGGCATAGCAAATATAACCAGTTCAGTCTATCCTTCTGGAATACAGCCCAAATGAGTCCAAATCCAGGTGCAGATCCAAAATCACTACAGTCTCCATCCAGGTAGCTACCAATCAAGAAATCCCCCTAACAATCCACAAAATCCATTTTAAAAAAAGCACACTACCATAAGGACAGGCCTTCTAGGGTGCCTACTCTCTATGCCATAGGTCCCCAACCTTTCGAGTACCAGGGACCGGTTACATGGAGAGCGGTTTTTCCGTAGACCGGAGGGGGCATAGTTTTGTGTGCTGCCTGCATCCTGCGGAAAGGCTTTGCTTGTTTGTGCAGACTGGTTGCTGGCATGCCGCGGCCCAGTACTGGTCCACGGACTGGGGGTTGGGGACCCCTGCTCTATGTCATTTTGCTTCTTTGCTGCACTTTAACACTTCCAAGTGTAAAAAGAAGATATTTTTTTTGTTGGGCAAGAGGGCCTGCAGCATTACTGCTTTGCTCTATCCTCTATTTGAGGATGTAACCCTAATTTGCATTTAGATGTAGGAAGCTGCTCAGGAAAGAAATGTTTTGTGTATCCTAAGATGAGCCCTCTATCCTGACCAGAATTCTTCTCTTTCTTTCCTCCTTCTACTAGGCAGAAATTACTGACGGGTCTCTGGAAAGATTTAACATTCTGTTTAGGATGAACTTCTAAACAGCCTTTTGCTGCCTCCTTGTGGTGCTTCCTGATTTTATATCTCTACAATCCCCCTGGCCACCCTTGGAAATTGTTGTCAGAAAAAGAGGCTGTTTCTAACTCACAACATTCAGCTGTTGTCTTTAGTGAGACCAGCCACACACCCATGAGAAAGGTTATGGTGCATCAGGAGATAGTAAGGAGGTTGTTGGGAAATGTCACATTTTTAGTATGACTTCTGGACCAGGTTTGGGTGCGGTTGGAGAATTTGGAAAACACAAAAGGAGGCTAAAACACTTGGTTGAGTCATACAAACAACAAGAGTCAAATTTCTTTTCTTTTTTGCTGCAAATATTTATTGGAATCCAGCTTACGTGTCAAACACAAGCAAAACAATTCCAGAATAAGAGAAAGTTGTTTTGAGGCAATACATTGTTAAGTAAAAGTTGTTGCTTAAAGAAGTAGATCACTCCCCCCCTTTCACTCTGTTAAATATTTGGAGTCTGCTTTGTTAAGAAAGGTCAATGAGTACTTGAGGAAATGCATAATTCCCATGTAACACTTGGCATTTGAGAAGTGCCTTCATCTTTGTTAGCTAAGCATTCTACTAGCTACATTATGAAAAATATTTGAGGTAAATATCTTTTTCTTATTACGATGGATGCACTGAATATCTCCATAATTGCCCAGAAAGCAATTGTTTCTTTAACAATTCTTCTGATTTTTCAAAACATTTCATCATTCAGAAAATGACAGAGAAATAAGACAGCTGTACTGAAACCAGCTTTTCTCTCTGGTACCTTCTAGATACCTTGGGCATGCCATTCCCAAAATTCTCAGCCAATATGGGAAAAGTTAGCTTATGTCTATAAATTCAGTTTTAGGGGCATTAACTGAATTGGCAAGAATCCCAAATCTCCCACCCTTTTATATATATCAAAAGAAAGGCTTTTATCCACACACATTGCAGAGAGATTATTTAACAGTAAGTGCAGAAGTCAACACAGTCAAATCTGATAGTTCTCAAGGCAATGATGACAGAAAGAACAGGCATTTCAATCAAATATCTGCTGTCAAAGGAAAAATAAATGTTAAACTGCAAAAGAGACACATCTGTTTTCTATCCTATCCCCTACTGAGTTTGATTTCTTCATGGAAACAGATGGAAAAACTATATGTATACTTATGACACTGAATGATCAATTTTCATTTGAAATTGTATTTGCTATTGATCTGTCAGTGTTACAGTTTCAGAAGCTGCTATCCTCCTAACATCTGATCCATTTGAGGTTGCCAACAATACTGCAAAAGCAACTAACACATGAGTGTGTGGCTCCTGGTCCATAATTATCTATGGAATCCATTTCTTGCACACTTTTCAGAGGCCCTCAAAATTACTACTGAAATTTAGCAGCAAATTGCCAAACGAAAGAGAGGTGCTATTTTGTGCTATTATAAATTCTGGTCAAAGAACATAATAAAGATATTTGATTTCTGCTGATTATCAGCAGGAAGCAAAACAAAATGTGTGTAAGACGATTGATAGGTTTATCATAGTCCCCCAAATTAAATATACATACAAACAAAGGTACATAAAATGAAGTCACCAAAATCCCAGTCCCACCTCCTTTTTTTACTGTGGCTTTGATACCCCAAAAGTGCAGTCTCCTCCTCCAAAAATTGCCCACTCTGGATTTAATCCTATGGCATAATAATAACCTGAAATCTTATCATGCTTTTATTCAACAGGGAACATGACAAATAATCTCCACTTGCACAAATGACTGACACAGCTCAGGGGCTACAGATCCTTCTCACTGTGCTACATTTATAATAGCAATTGAAAAAAACAGTGTGAAAATATAAAACATGTGCGATGGGAGTCATGAAACAAAAGGACTGCTTACATATGTGTAACAGTGGCAATTGCATGATGCTACAGGACAAGTCAGATACCACATAGAAACAGAGCTCCTCAATGCAGATGGCACAGCAAGCCTCAGTGCGTACTTGTTGGGCTTCCTTCTTCAGTGAGGTTTTTGAAATCCATGGACAATGCCAGCTCCTCAGCCAGTGGCGGTCTCCGCCATTCTTCCCGGGTTAAGATGTAACCCACAACTGCCCCAAAAGCTATTATTAGGAGGCCCAAGGTGTTGGCAAGGATTCCTTCTGAGACAAAGAGGTTGTAGGTATCCCTGCAAAAGTAGACGAACAATATTAAGGTTTTTCCACACTTCCACTCATTTTCCTCAATAAATCAATGAACAAGTATTATCTTTTTGGCTCATTTGTTCGACTGCGTTCTCTTTATCTAATTCAGGGGTGTCAAACTGACTCCCCAAAGGCCGGATGCGTCATGCCAAAACTGTGCTCACCCCATTGCCGGCAATGGAAAAAAAGTCGCAATACGTCGCAACACGTCATGTGACGTTGCAAGTTTGATACCCCTGATCTAATTGTACAACCTGTATGGAGAACAGATTATATTTTAGGTCATAATTATGCAGAAATATTGAAAAATCGAAAAGGTTCACAATTTTTTAAGCAATACTTTATATGCTGGGGTCGTTTACTTCACAGCTCACCCATCCATCCATTCATTCATTCATTCATTTTATAGTGCTTATAAAGCTGCCCCAAGCACAACCAATTCTGACTTTAATGGCAGAAACTCTGTGGAAGAAAGAAGAAACGGGGAAGAAATGGAGCCAGATAAAGGAAATGTTAGGACAAAAAAAAAATCAAAAGGAAATTTTGATTTCAGCATCATCTCTGAAAACCTCCAAAGACATATATCTAATCCTCAACAGGGAACAGGCTTATACTGCACATGTGTAATCGAATGTAGTGGCATAAATCAAGAAAACATCATCAAAAGAGTGACAATAACATTTCCCATCAGCTGTGTTCCAGATGTACTGGACTGAGTAATAATTCCCAGACAACATGGCACTTGGCTAGTTGGAAATAGTAGTCCAACTGTATTGTAGTCTAACAGACCTGAAGAATCCACGATAATGAGGATAATTAGGTTCTCCATGAAAATTAAGCAAATAAAAACTAAAACAATAGCACATATTTAGTAACTCTCAGGCCTCAATACTACTCACAGAGAAAGATGTTTAGAAGTTCAACAAGTGTACAGAAAGAAATAACTCACTTAAAAAAACATAGTTTACATCTAGATGAAGAAAAATCATCATGACATTTGCAAAAAAAATGGTAGAAGCTACTCGATCACATAAGATTATGAGATGGTTTATAGATCTATTAACATACTCCAACTTCATCAGCAAAACATGCAAAACCTCAGTTACGGTAGCGATTTAAGACAGGGAAGAACATTTGAGGGAAACAGTGTTAAGTTTCTAATATAAATGAGCATCAGGAGCTGGACAAAGCTGAAACATCATTATTTTCCAGAATGTCTGGATTGTTTATTTTCCGTAATTCTGAATTATACTAAGCAGCTTATATCAGCCATAAGTAACTATTTATATTTCACATTTTTGCTCTCAGCCTAGTATCTCAGCCTCTCTCAACCCAGAAAAATCTAAACTGAGTGAAAAAGACCCGACAATTATCAAACTAATGTGATCTAGTTTGGTCTAGTAGTTAAGGCAGGTGGTTGAGCCAGTTTGGCCTAGTGGTTAAGGCATCAGCCTAGGAACCAGGTGACTGTGAGTTTTAGTCCTACCTGAGGCATGAAAACCAACTGAGTGACCCTAGTCACTTAGTCTCTTAGTCCAACCTATCTCACAGGGTTGTTGTTGTTGTTATGTTCAAAATAGGAGGAAGGAGCATGAGGTATGTTTGTTGCTTTTTGAGACTATTATTATTATTATTATTATTATTATTATTATTATTATTATTATTATTATCATCATCATCATCATCATCATTATCATTATTATTATTTAAAATAATTTTTAAAACCCTGGTTTAAATATAAATACTATGTAGGCATACATTAACAAAACCATAACTTGCTTTATTTTGAAGAGTAGCTGTTCCAGAATACCCAACAGAGCAGTAGCGATGGAAAGGATGAGGAGGAAGGCTCCAAAAAAGACATGCTGTGGTTTGTATCTACTGCGGACTGAGAACGATGCTCCAGGGAAGAGGAAGATGTAAAATCCAAAGAGCCACTGAGGAGGAAAACAAAGCAGAATTCAAACATTACAAATACCGCACACCTCTCGCAGTTCAACTCTTCCACAGGCTTACTTTCTCTAGATCTTGACTAAAGTATCAGAAGTATCACCAATGACAAAACAAATCCCTAAGGATGGCAAGCTGCGTTAAATTCAATTTAGAGGTTTATATTACCCCACCATTTGAAAAAAAAAAAATTCTGTATAAACTTAAAAATAACCATGGATTGGATGAGATCTTAACTACAGGTAATCCTCGGCTTATGACCACAATTGAGCCCAAAATTTCTCTTGTTAAGTAAGACAGCTACTAAGTGAATTTTGCCTCATTTTACAACCTTTCTTAATAATAATAATAATAATAGTAAAGTTGGAAGGGACCTTGAAGGTCATCTAGTCCTTGGGGGACGAGTCCGTCCTTTGGGATATGGTAAAGCCTGTTTACCGACAGGTCAGAGAAGAATTTTTGAAGGTCACAACCTCGTAAGTGGTGAAGACCTCCGTCCAACAAGGTGACCAATTAACAAGATTGACAGTCCTTCATTCTCCTTAGTTCTAGGTTGCTTCTCTCCTTGATTAGTTTCCATCCATTGCTTCTTATCCTGCCTTCAGGCGCTTTGGAGAATAGCTGGACTCCCTCTTCTTTGTGGCAGCCCCTGAGATATTGGAACACTGCTATCATGTCCCCCCTCAACATCTTTTTTACATCGTGGTGACCAAAACTGGATGCAGTATTCCAAGTGTGGCCTTACCAAGGCATTGTAAAGTGGTATTAACACTTCACGTGATCTTGATTCTATCCCTCTGTTAATGCAACCTAGCACTGTGTTGGCCTTTTTGGCAGCTGCAGCACACTGCTGGCTCATATTTAGGTGATTGCCACAGTTGTTAAGTGAATCACTGCAGTTGTTAAGATAATAACATGGTTAGTAAGTGAATCTGGCTCCCCCATTGATTTTTGCTTGCAAGAAAGTCATAAAAGTAGATCATGAAACTCCTAACATGATCTCTCTACAAATCAATATCATTTACTGCAGGGCTATTAGAACTTAGGTCAATATATTGCCGGGTTTTTTTTTCTCCAAATTCTTCTTAGAAACTGAATTTAAAAAAAATAAAATGTCAGGGAGAATAGGCCCTCAGAGATGATGATGATGATGATGATGATGATGATGATGATGATGATGATGATAGTAGTAGTAGTAGTAGTAGTAGTAGTAGTAGCAGTAGTAGTAGTAAAGTTGGAAGGGACCTTGGGGGTCATCTAGTCCAACCCCCTGCTCAGGCAGGAAACCCTATACCATTTCGGACAAATGGCTGTCCAGTCTCTTCTTAAAAACTTCCAGTGTTGGAGCATTCACCACTTCTGGAGGCAGGTTGTTCCACTGGTTAATTTTTCTAACTGTCAGGAAGTTTCTCCTTAGTTCTAGGTTGCTTCTCTCCTTGATTAGTTTCCACCCGTTGCTTCTTGTTCTGCCTTCAGGCGCTTTGGAGAATAGCTGGACTCCCTCTTCTTTGTGGCAGCCCCTGAGATATTGGAACACTGCTATCATGTTCCCCCTCGTCCTTCTCTTCATTAAACTAGACATATCCAATTCCAGCAGCCATTCCTTATACGTTTTAGCCTCCAGTCCCCTATGAAGTAGGAAGTATGGACTATGAAAGTATGGAGCAAATTCCGTCACTTGCACTACTACAAATGACATTATAACTCAAAGTATGAACTCAGTCTGCATACATGGAATGAGAAATGTTTGCTTCAACACACAATATTTTACATTCATTTTGCATTTAACAACATTTGCCTTTGTGTAGCCTACTCTTGAATTTTGGAGAGGATGTTTCCAAGCCTATCTCACTATCTTTTTACCATCCTTGAATAATTCAGTATCATGTTCACAATGGGTCACTATATTGCTCAATACCAGATCATTCAGATTAAAAAGCACCACTTGCAAATGAGACTCTTATGGAGCTCACTTTGCAACAAGCAGTCAAGGTATTGCCAGCCACTCAAGCAAAGCTGTTCCTGATGATCACACATCTTTTCTGAAGGAAAAAATACAATGCAGTTGAAGTTAATGTCAACTAGAATCCTCTCAAGTATGGCTCAGGTCACGCACACCTTTTGCAGTGAACAAAGAATAAAAACCTGATGAGGATCTTTCTAAATTGGATGAGTGGGCAATAAAATAGCAATGATCCTTAAATGCAAAGACGTAGAAAATAGGTATTGAGACAAAACAGCCTCATTCTACATGTAAAAATTTTCACAGATTGCATTAAGAAAAAAAATCACTTATTATAGGCATGACATTTGCTTTTACCATTCTTCCCTGAGGATCTAGGCTTATTGGAGCTATTTGATAGCTTGGAAGATGTTCCTTCCAGCAAAAATAACAAAATATTGACTTAAATAGTTATACCTGGAGGTACACCAAGAGAAATACATTTTAAATGCCCTCTATTTGACACTTCACCATTTCAATGTAAAATAATAATAATAATAATAATAATAATAATAATAATAATAATAATAATAATAGTAGTAGTAGTAGTAGTAGTAGTAGTAGTAGTAGTAGTAGTAGTAGTAGTAAAGTTGGAAGGGACCTTGGGGGTCATCTAGTCCAACCCCCTGCTCAGGCAGGAACCCTACACCATTTCGGACAAATGGCTGTCCAGTCTCTTCTTAAAAACTTCCAGTGTTGGAGCATTCACCGCTTCTGGAGGCAGGTTGTTCCACTGGTTAATTTTTCTAACTGTCAGGAAGTTTCTCCTTAGTTCTAGGTTGCTTCTCTCCTTGATTAGTTTCCACCCATTGCTTCTTGTTCTGCCTTCAGGCGCTTTGGAAAATAGCTTGACTCCCTCTTCTTTGTGGCAGCCCCTGAGATATTGGAACACTGCTATCATGTTCCCCCTCGTCCTTCTTTTCATTAAACTAGTGTTAGAAGTAAGTCTTCATCCTGGTTCATCCAAGCCGGGAATAAATAAGCAAACATGGCGACTGCTTTGGGAAGAAGGTTACAGTTTATTGCAGAAGACAGATAAGCAGCAGAGGAGAAGAAAAAGAGAGTGAGCACATGGGCAGATGGTCTTTTTATACCCTCTAGCCCTGCCTGGAAGTTTCCTGTTCCTGTGGNCCCAGGTGATGGGGCTAATGACTCTCCTGCTTCCCAGGTGATGGGGCTAATGACTCTTAAGAGCTTCTTTTGTCTTGAGATCCCTGGCTCCAAACTTCCTGATGGTTCCACATCTGCATATGTATAAGACTAACTACTGCCCTGGGCAAAGAGATGAGGCCAGGTTTGGTTTCTGCTTTTCAAAAAATGCTTTTAAAAAATCCTTTTGGTGAACAATATTTTTTCCTGCCTTTTTAATATTTCCTTCTCTGGGTTAACTTCCCACAATATACATATCCAATTCCAGCAGCCGTTCCTTATACGTTTTAGCCTCCAGTCCCCTATGAAGTAGGAAGTATGGACTATGAAAGTATGGAGCAAATTCCGTCACTTGCACTACTACAAATGAATTATAACTCAAAGTGTGAACTCAGTCTGCATACATGGAATGAGAAATGTTTGCTTCAACACACAATATTTTACATTCATTTTGCATTTAACAACATTTGCCTTTGTGTAGCCTACTCTTGAATTTTGGAGAGGATGTTTCCAAGTCTATCTCACTATCTTTTTACCATCCTTGAATAATTCAGTATCATGTTCACAATGGGTCACTGTATTGCTCAATACCAGATCATTCAGATTAAAAAGCACCACTTGCAAATAAGACTCTTATGGAGCTCACTTTGCGACAAGCAGTCAAGGTACTGCCAGCCACTCAAGCAAAGCTGTTCCTGATGATCACACATCTTTTCTGAAGGAAAAAATACAATGCAGTTGAAGTTAATGTCAACTAGAATGCTCTCAAGTATGGCTCAGGTCACGCACACCTTTTGTAGTGAACAAAGAATAAAAACCTGATGAGGATCTTTCTAAATTGGATGAGTGGGCAATAAAATAGCAATGATCCTTAAATGCAAAGACGTAGAAAATAGGTATTGAGACAAAACAGCCTCATTCTACATGTAAAAATTTTCACAGATTGCATTAAGAAAAAAAATCACTTATTATAGGCATGAAATTTGCTTTTACCATTCTTCCCTGAGGATCTGGGCTTATTGGAGCTATTTGATAGCTTGGAAGAAGTTCCTTCCAGCAAAAATAACAAAATATTGACTTAAATAGTTATACCTGGAGGTACACCAAGAGAAATACATTTTAAATGCCCTCTATCTGACGCTTCACCATTTCAATGTAAAATAATAATAATAATAATAACAACAGAATAATAATAATAATTATTATTATTATTATTATTATTATTATTATTATTATTATTATTATTATTATTATTATTATTATTATTATTATTGGAAGGGACCTTTGGAGATCTTCTAGTCCAACCCCCTGCTCAGGCAGGAAATCCTATAGCATTTCCTTTTATGGTCCAGATTTCAAATAAAAATCTAAAAGAGGCCGTGGATCCTCAGAGCAGCTGCCTTCAAGCTTTTCATCAAGCAGGTACTCTCTAGAGCAGAATTATGTTCCAAAAGGCAGTTACATAACTCCGAGCATGCTTCTTCCACTAGCCCTTCATGTGCAACAAGCCCACCTTACCCACCTTACCTGTGCAAAGTAGAAGCCAAATGCAATGATGCCACACCAGCTGTGGAGGCTGTACATATCTGGAAAGCCTTGATTCCTGTGGTGCTGGAAAACAGCAATCAGACCTAAAGGGAAAGTGGGGCAGTCAAATTCTTTAAAAATCTCCCCTTCTCTCCTAACCTACCACTATCTACTCCATAATGTTGAGACAAGGACTACTCTAGGAATAGTTGGGAAATAGAAGAACAGCCGGTCCACCGTTATCTGGGATGATGAAAATGGTACTTGGCATTCCAAATCTTCCCAAGCCAGAAAACATGTTCCAAAATCCTTTTTGTCTTTAGGAGACATTGTGGGGCATCTTTGCCCAACTTACAGTAATTGCAGCATTTATATACAAGATAAAGAATGGATTTGAGTTACATAGAAGGACATCTTCCAACCAAGCGTGAAGAGAAAAATTCTAACAGAAAGAGCAATTTGATGGTTCCCTAGAAGGTATAGGTATTTCTTCACTGGATATGTTCAACTGGCTGGACAATCATCTATCCCAGATACTGTTATTTGGATTCCTGCATTGAGCAGAAGGCTGGACTCAGTAGTAATCCATTTGAAGGAACTTTTAGCAGGGTCCCTTGTAGTACCATGGTGATTCCCGCTCTTAGCTAAGTCCCCTTAAGTCAAATTCAACTCCTACCAAATATACATATATGTCCCTAGGATTCCTTGGCAATAATATTAAATGGATCGCCACTATCTTTTTTTTTTATTCCCAGGCAAAAAGCAGAGACCTCTTTCTTTTCCCTCTCTATGTTGTTTATAGTATTTTTAAATGGGTTGTGTATATGTACACTTGAGAGCAAGCAACTAAATTTCATTTTTAATGTGTGCCATTGTACCTACAGTAAAAAAAATGACAATAAAGGTTGTCTATCTATCTAGCTATCTAGCTATCTTTACAGTATAAGAATGGAAGACACACTACACAGTGAAATATCAGCGCAAGCTGCAAACAAGCTGCCAGTTGCATTTTTGTGAGATGAAAATGGCAGGTAAGTGCAGTCTCACTTAGCTATACACCACCCCAACTACTCCAGCAGAAATATGCTTTAGATAGGTAAAGAAATGCTGCCCAGTGGTTTCATCTTCACAAGAGGCAGAAAATGTTGTATCTATGAAATACAACTGAAATAGAAGCTCCCAAATAATCGGGGAATCCTCATCTCCTCTCTTGAGCCTAACATCCCTAGGAACATCAGTGATGACCTTTGAAGACAAGGCTCAGAAAGTGTGATAGAAGATTCCAGGCAGGTTCATTATGCCTTACCAACCAACGCAATGATAAGTGCAAAGAAATGGATGAGCCCATGCAGGATCTTCGTGGATTTCTTGCTCTCATTCCTGAAGACACGGTAAACCAGAAGAGCTGGAGAATAAGAAGAGGAAATAAGGATTAGGTGGGTGGGTGGTCAGTTCCCCTCGCTTCCTCACTCTCTTGCCTGCATGGATTGCAATCTTTGGGGTATTAAGCAAAAGCATTTCAATTGATCCAAGGACTTTCAGATGGGTCATATTTTGAGCTGCTTCGTTTTTTTAATTTGTTTTATGTCTTTATGTATATCAGGTTCATGTATTCAAATTAAAAATGAAAGATTTGAATATTTTAAATAAATACATGCAGTCAAGAGAGAATTTAAGACAGCAGGAGCTACGCAGCTCCCAATCTGCAGGCTACCTGACTGTTTTAAGAAAATATAAATCGTGGTTGTCAATGGCAACAGCAAGGAGGGGTGTAAACGCAGCAGGAGATCGCCAGAGGAGGCATACTGGGGACTCCATAGACTGAACACAGGTGCATAATTTTTCTGTGCATGCAGATTGAGGGTCTCTATGCTCCAACTGCTAACGCTCTTTCCCTTGCCTTCCACTGGGTTCTCTTCCATAGATTTAAAAAAATCCATGTTCTATTGCATGAAGAGCAGAAAAAAGTCTGCTCATCCCATAAGCATCAGCAATAACCAGGATGTCCCTTGCTTGCTCCTGAACCATTAGAAGCTCTATGTCAACTAGGCAAGCGAAATGATTCTTAGCAATGCTATAAGGGACACTGCATCTGCTGCTCTCTCGTCTGACCAATTATGGGCAAGCATAATTTTCCTTTCAAAATAGAAAATGATGTATAAGGAACTCTTTCCCCCATCTGATTGGGGATCTGGGTTAAGCTCCCTTTAGGATGCGCTCTACTGTAGCTGATTTTCTAAAATGTATTTATATATATTTGCACAAGGGTAGGACAAATTTTGAAATATAAATTTAAAAAACCTGAAAAGCTGTAAATAGTTATAGCTGGCTGCTAAGCCAAATCATAGTTTGAGGGTTCCCAACTGGAAGGAAGAGAGACCCAAGTGGAAGGAGAGGAGACTTTCTGGGCCTCTCCAAGCCCCTCTCATTTGTGGGAGGAGGCAAAAAGTCACGGTCAGTTTACCCACTTTCCAAATTATGCCTCTAGGCCAGCGGTCCTCAACATTTGCAGCTTGGCGGTCCGACTAGGGGGAGAGAGAGGGGAATTGGGCTGCACAAGCTACAGGCCGGCACACACGAGGCACGCATGCAGCCCTTGAGTGTCTGCCAGCCTGCTGCTTGTGCAAGATGAGCATGCGTGCTCTAGCCACTCGCAGGGACCAAATCCGAATAGGTCATGACCTGGTACTGGGCCGTGGCCCTGGGGCTGGGGACCCCTGCTCTAGACAACCAATTATGTCTCCTCCCTTGGATGACACACCTTATCCACATGCCTTGCATGTGAAAGCTTCCTGTCAAAGCAGACCTCCCATTCCTTCCAAAATTCTTACCATCACCTTGAAGGAACACCATCCCAATGACCATGCACAGGGGGTGGACGTTAAATAGTAGTTGAGAGCTGTCCCAGGCAACGCCACCTCGGTACTGTCCAATCCAGGCTGCCATCACCGTGATGACAGCAAGGCCCAAGATCTGTGAAGCGGCCACTATGTAGGTCAGCCCGATGGGACTTGCGGGTCTCGCAGGAGTCTCCTCCATCTTCGGGACTTATTTCCCAAATGAATCTTGAGCTGCCAAATTTGGAAAAGGGGGGGGCAGAAAAATCAACATCCATGTATAACCTTTCTCCATCTTGTCCCATTACAGATTTTTCTTTCCTTTTCCTGAATTAGAAGGCTAAATGGGGGGAAAGAACACTAAGCAGTTGTTACTCCTACATCACTCAGACCTTCAGCAAGGGGGAATAAGACCCCTTACTTTTTCACATCATCTTTTATTTTTATCTTTTATTGATAAATTTGTCTGTTTGAGCCAACCAGAGTCATTGAGAGTTAAGTAGTTCTCGACTTATGACCACAATTGAGCCCAAAATTTCTGTTGCTAAGTGAGACATTTGTTAAGTGAATTTTGCCCCATTTTACCATCCTTCTTGCCACAGTTGTTAAGTGAATCATTGCAGTTGTTAAGTTAGTAACGGAGTTGTTACATGAATCTGGCTTTTCCATTGACTTTGCTTGTCAGAAGGTCACAAAAGACCCCGGGACATGGCAACCATCATAAATAGAGTCAGTTGCCAAGCATCTGAATTCTGATCACATGATCTTGGGGAAACTGTCATAAGTCACTTTTTTCAGTGCCATTGTAACTTCAAACGGTTGCTAAATGAACTGTTGTAAGTCGAGGACTACCTGTACAAGTTTAATAAAGTATTATGATTGGGTCACAGTCAGCCAGATCATTAGGCTGAATCTGGCATTTTGGTCCACCTATCGAGGTGTTCCCAAGGATCTGGGATAGGCAGATGTTGTTGAATATTATTAAAGGTTATTGAAAGATGTAAATTGTTCAAAGTTAAGCTGCTTTTATCAATTGACTGATGTTATCAATGTTTGTAATGTTCAAGTGGTGCTCCAGATGATACTGTTATTGTTGTTATGTTTTGCGTTTCAAAGGGTTATAAGAATGCTAGCAAACAAAGAATAGGAAAATGTTTCAATGTGAGATGCAAGCAAGTCTGAAATAAACACTACAAAATCAGTCTTGAGGTTTAAGGTGGAAGTGCATGAAATACAGTGTGTTGGGGGTTTTATTTATTTTTATTTTTTTCAGAAAAAACTGATAGCCAGAGACAGCAGCCCACTTATTGAAGGTGGGGAGCAAAATATGGTTGGAAACAAACAGTGCATGAGAGAAGGACTGATAGAAAAGGATCTTTATCAGTGAACCACACAGTTTCTAGTCAAAAACAGAAGTTTTATTAAATTAAAATACCTAACTAAATTAAGGTAATTGGTTTAGTCTCATTTCTGTTTCTGGCAAATGCCAGCTCCGTGCTGTGCAACATAACCTTCAGGGTGAAAGTGAAAAAAGATGTAAAGAATCAAAACCTGGAAAAAACAGTGACATTACTAAAATCAATTCATTAGTCCTAAATTGCACATTTGAGGGGAATTGACCTTCTTCATCACGACCTCACATAATGTGCAATGGTGAAAGTGCTGGACTAGGAGCAGGCAGACTCGGGTTTAAGTCTACCATCAGCCATGAGATCTCATTGGGTGGCTCTAAGTTGCAGCTCAACCAACATCACAGGACTGTTATTGCAGAAAAAAGAGGAAGAAAAAAAATGATGCATTCTGCTTTGAACTCTTGAATAAACGGCAGGCTATAAATCTCATAAAAGCATGATGTTAGGAAACTTTTTTTTTTACCCTGGGGCACATCTGCAAGTATGAGATGTCCAGGCATTGTTATGAAATATACACATTTACTAAAACCTAAAATGCTAAAAATGCTTGTTGCTATCTCATTTTCTATTTATGGAGGTTGCTCTCATCTTCAGTCTCCCTTCCTTCCTTCCTTCCATCCTTCCTTCCTTCCTTCCTTCCTTCCTTCCTTCCTTCCGTGGTAAGTCAGCCCCCCGAGAGAAAGAAATATTTTTGGAAATATTTAAAAGGCAGAATATATTTCCCTAAAGGATTTTAAAGGCAGAAACCAACACACACACACCCCAAGTCTCTCTGCCCCAAACAGAAACCAAGTCTGCAGAAATGCAGATAATCTTGTCAGAAAGACTGGAATCAGGAAACTGGGATTAGGAAGAAAGATCCCTAGAATCAACACCAAAAAACTAAGAGTCATCAGCCACAGCCACAGGGAAGCAGGATATGATCCTTGGGACATAATAGGATTAACCCACCACCATCAGAATACAAGAAAGGCACACTAAGACTCAGGTCAAAGTTCATGCCACAGGAACAACTCCAAACAAAAGGCTCCAGAGGGTATAAAAACCCACTCCCTACATGTGCTTGCTCTCTTTTCTTCCAGAGCCATCTTCCTGTCTGGCTCTCCTCTTCAATAAACTGCAACCTTCTTTCTAAAGCAGTCGCCATGTTGTTTATTCCCGGCTTGGACTGAAACATGATGAAGACTTTTCCTTCAACACTGCCTTCCTTCCTTCCTTCCTTCCTTCCTTCCTTCCTTCCTTCCTTCCTTTCCTTCCTTCCTTCCTTCTTTCCTGCCTGCCTGCCTGCCTGCCTTTCCATCATTTTGTACATCTGAAGGGGAGGGAAAAGAAATGGGAGAATATAGTCGTAAAATGCCCGACATACATATGTGATGGCAGTCACTACCAATCCTATGAAATGCCCTTGTGAAGATAAGAAAACATTCACAGCAAGCTGAATTGGCCCAGAGTGATGACAAGGAAGAAGAACCAGTCAAGAACACGTAGCCCATGAGAAATAAACGACTGCTTTATTTAGAGGGACACGATTTGCAACTGGGTTGGCACGCTTTCCTATGGTATGAGAAAAATAAAGTACATAAATACTTTCAAACGCAGGCTATAAGGAATGTACTACTTTCAGAGTGGGAGAGAATTAAAAATAAAATTTATATGAAAGTACCTGAGTGGCTTTCAACAATGGAAGCATTTGCGTATCCGAATTTAATTAACTATGATAAACTTGCGGTCTATAAAGACATTTTAGATAAAGAAGGAAAACTTAAAGATAGGCAAGATCTTCAACAAAATGGTATTGATTTAACATGGTGGTCATATTTGCAAATTCAAACAAGATATGAAAAAGATGTAAAAGTAATGGGATTTTACAAAGAACAGACACCATTAGATAAAATATTCTTGAAAACAGACGAAAATTTGATTAAGAAACTCTATAAATTTTTGTTAAACTGGAAGATGGAAGAAGAACAAGTGAAAGAAACAATGATAGTGTGGGCAAAGAACTTTGGTTATTCTATAGATTTAGAAGATTGGCAAAAACTATGGGACCAAAATATTAAACTTACTAAAGCAGCTGCATACAAGGAAAATTTATATAAAATGTTTTATAGACGGCACATGACACCAGTTAGATTAGAGAAAATGTTTAAAAATGTAGCAAATATGTGTTGGAAATGTAAATAACAACCAGGCACTTATTACTATCTCTGGTGGATATGCCCTAATGCTAAGAAATTTTGGTTTAAGATTCATATGTGGCTAGAAAAGATGATTAAAGTACAGATAGAATTAAAACCAGAACTCTGTTTGCTAGGAATATTAGGCTTGATAATACCTTTTCTCTTACTCATAAATTATAATGTACACAATTGTCGGCGCTCCTATTATAAACGGGTTAAAACCTTTTTACTTTTAAATGGTAGACTAGTCTAATATTATTGTTTTTATGAACTTACACGTCTTTACCTATCTAATTGAAATCTTTACTTTCAGAAAGAAGACACAATTTATTTTAAAACATGGGAAAATTTTTACCAATGGTTAGCAATACGATAGAATGAGAAAAGGTTATAAAACTTAAAGAGATAATTGATAATTTGTATTTATATTTTATGATTATTTGTATGAACTTATCTTCTTTTTTCATATTTGTGATTTTAATAATATAGTAAATTATAACCAATAAGTAATATATTACTATTTTAAAGTTATTACAACTAATTAGTCATGTTAGTCACAAACCACATGACTAACATGACTAATTAGTATTAAGCATTGTTAATTAGTAAAATGAATGAGATATATTGACTAACTTGTTATTGAAAGCTGTTTAATACTAATCATTAAGATTTAATATGTATACCCGGATGGGTTTACTTGCTGAAGCGATGTTATTTTGTGGGATTAATCCCACTTTTGTGTTTACCCCTTTCCTTTGGTTTAACCCTTTTGTATGTCTCCCTTTGTTTTACCTTTGTTGACCTTATTCCCTTGTTACCCTTATAAAACTCAATAAAATATTTGTTTTAAAAAAAAAGAACATGTAGCCCAGTAAACCAAAGTGAGCCTGTCTCCAAAACAGTGTAGCTAGGATGCTGACCTAGTAGGAAGGAATAAATAATTAGAAAGTCATGCAGATGGGTTTATCAAAAACAATCCAACATCATACTGCAATTTACACTGGGTCTACTGTAACTTTGTCTTCTCTTTGAAATGTAATAGGCCAAAGGTATATAATTTGAGATTCTGCTTTTGATCAGGGTTGCCCAGCATGTTGCCAATGCTTTGCTGGGAGCCCAGTATATGCTGATTTATCATTTGCATGTTAATACATTTATGCTGTATCTTCAGAGTGATTTGATTGCTTTGAGCAAAGCCAGGTTTTGGCCACAATAGTGCCTTCCTACCTGCCAAGATTTTACTTCTAACCACAATCAGCCTTCATCATATCTAATCATTTCTTTATTGATTTAATTGCCCATAAAGACATCCAATTTATAACTCTACATAACTGATATGTATAGATGTGTCAATTATTCTGCCCCTTCCCAATCCTTTCCCTCATTCTAGCAGTAAAACACCAGCAACAGAAAAGCCGGTGGAGACTAGGTGAAGCAAAGAAGTAGCTGCTTTGGGAAGGGAATAATATTGGGGAGTAAGAGAAGAAAAATCCTATTTAAATTTTAGGGGAAATAGTTACATTCAATAGGCAGAGGACAGAGAGATGAAAACTGTTGTCTTCCCTCATAGAGACCTCTCAACAAGAATTGAAAGAATAAAGGCCCTCTGAAAAATGACACTTTTGAGTAACTTTGCCTTGTCATGCTTCCTATCTAAAGATCTGGCATTAGTATGGTGATGCCATTAGAGACAAAGCTGATTTATCAGTTCCTTTTTCATTGAGGAAAGCAATGAGATTTGTTTTACTAAAATACATGTCTGTTTCCAGTTTTTGGTGGCATTATTTGGGAGGCACTAGAAACGGCTTAAAAAGGGGTAACCATATATTGTTCAAAGGGTACCCACCTTAGTCCAGAAAATAGGAAATGATAAAGTAAATTACATTGGATAATCTTCCTCCTAACCTGATAGACAGACACCTGGATTTCTCATTCGCCCTTCCCTTTCATATTTCATCTGCTCAACCCAGAGGAGGAGACATATATATGAATGTTGGGAGTAACCAGAACAGCACAAGATTGACAAACAATGTGGCACTTTGGCTGACCCAAAGATGCTTCTCTGGTGATTGCAAAGCATCTTTTTCACTTAGGATTCCATTATGAAATTTTGTGGACAAAGGTGTCATTCATTCCTTCCTTCCTTCCTTCCTTCCTTCCTTCCTACCTCTTTGCACCTCTTTTCTTTATCGTTCCTGACTTTTGTTTCTATTTGTATTCTATCTTATAACAAACTTCAATAAAAATATAGAACAAAATGAACTATACAGACAAATATAGAAAGTTCAGGGGAGATCTCATATCCAGAGCAGCAGTGCAGATGGGAGATGAAACCAAGAAACACGAAAGATGTACATGCACACACGGAGAGACTTCAACAGAAAACTGAAGGTAACCTGAATCATTAACCCAATGGTATCCCCTACTGTGTAAAAAACCACAATATGTTGCAAAGGTATGTCACTTACTGGATTGGTAAGTTAAAGGGATTTACTAAAGGTGGAGTGCAATATATTCAGTAATCTTCATAACTAATAAAAGAACAGGATTATATCTTGTTTTAAAAACCAAGCAAATCATCCTCAAAGACCAATATTACAAGTTACAACACGATCAATAGCAACAAAATCAAAACCAAAGAGAGCAGGATGTACTAGGTTGTAGACCAAGAATTAATAATATATTATTATTTCAAAACACTGCAAACTAAGTCCACCTCAGTACGCTTCTCTGGCTCTTGTCTATTTTTAAAATATAACACATTTATTTTTCTAAAACTGCAATTCCCTAATATACCATTTAGATACAGAAGAATCAACAGGTTTCTTCCTGTGCGATGCTCCTCTATCCATTAGCAGTATAATGAGGAAAAAATACAGTAGACGAAAAAAATATATTCTTTTATTCAGGACCTTTTTCAGAGAGAAGACAATAGAGATATCTGCTTCAAAGTGACAAAAGTAGAAGACCCACTGAAATTATGATTTGCTGTTTTAAAAGATCAAGGGGATTAATACTTTTAAAAATATAATCGCAAGAGTTATTTCAAACACCAACCTTTAGCATCATCTTTATTAACAAAAATGCCAATAAGATTCAAATGGGCAACTGGTTTCCTTCATATTAAACACAATGAGTTGTTGCAACCCTGTGATAATTTTGGAAGCCTTAGAACAAAGGTAAGCAAGCAGAAATAGTAGCAGAAAGCGTTCTGGTAAATCCATGTTTTTTTATCTGGTTATATTGCCTTGGCCATCGTTTTCATTGCCATGGCAATGCTTTTGCAGTCACAGAAGGTTCTTAAAGTTCCTATTATGCTCATTAAGATCAGAATGAACCTCAGGCCCTATTTGCCATTGATTTCACAAATTATAAAAGAACGGGGAAATGCATTGGTTAGAAGGAAATTAGAACTAGGGTCACATTAATACCCTAGTCATTAAAAGGGTTGGTTTTTATTGCTTCTACTATATGTCTACTATCTCTGTCGTCAAATGGAAAAAATAATCATTGCAATATGCCAGGAAGAAAAATAAGCAAAATAGTCTCTACTCCATCTGCCCCACCTTCATTTACAAAAGCAATATATTTAAAGATTAAGAAGACTTTAAGAGGCAAAGTATCAACAGTGCGCATTAGAGCTTCTTGTTCACAAGCCAGAAATAAAACAAACAAAATTGAGGCACTTGGTACCAGTCATTTCAAATTTTGAAGCTTTAATTGCTTCCCTTAAACACAGGCCCGACATCCATTCTCATTCATCCCTCTTTTGCAAATTCATTTAACTTTTATACCAAAAATTACGTACTGTGTGCGGCTGTACTACTATTGTCTCTCCTCACCAAAGTCTGATACACTATTCAATTGACTCCCAATAAGTAGAATGCAATTTATGAAAGACTTACTTTTTTTATGAGATCTCAGTTCCAATTCCAGGGGAAAAAAACACCTCCTCTATGTCTACCTTTTACCCAAACAAATCAGAATTGAATTCTGTAGACAACCTTCCTCTTCCTTCACTGTGCTGATGACTCATACTAATCGCTCCTCCTGTCACTCCAGTTTCAGAAAGAGCACCTGGAGCAAAATTGGTCATTAAACTCTACAGCAGAAAGCCAGCAACTTGTAACCTTTTCTGGACCCAGAAGTTTACAGGTTTCTGTTCCCTGCCAATCCATTTCCTTTCTTCTGGTGTCCAAGCAGAATTTTATATTTGGTTCTTTGTCCAAGCCAGCATTTACGTTGAACTCAGTCAAGCGTTTGAAATGGTTTTGTAGGAGAGAACCATGTTCAGGTAAGTTAAAGCTTCCATTCTTAAAACGTGGCAGCCTCTGTTAGCTGTCACAGCAGCTGAAGTTTAGGACTCCACCTTCAGCTAACACTGGCTCAACTTAATTTTTATCAACCCTTAAGAGGAAGGAAACAATTAAAGAACAAAGGAACACACTTTTTCTAAATAACAAAGAAATCGAGTAAGAGACGAAACACAATCAGGGAAAAAGAAGCCCATAGGATAATTCAAACTGCATTTCACTTACTGCTATTTGAACAGAGTTTCCTTACCTGGTTTTTAAAAGTTGCTCTGCAACTTTATATATGCTAGCAAAACAACTGTCTTGTGATCAGATGCCTCAGATGCAATGTGCATGATATATTTTTTTTAATTATAAGTCCCAGCTCAGTTTAGCGTGTCAGGTTCATAATTGGCAAGCATTAATTGTACACAAAAGATTATTCTTCTTCATTTTCGAGAAAATCTCTGTAAACTGCTGGCTTATACCCCTTCCACGCTTGGACTGGGCTAGTCTCAATAACCATGTCAATAACCAAGGATCACCGTGCTAACGACCAATCAAAGCTAAAATAAATGAAAAAAGCAACCTTGCTTCTTGTTTATCAGCACAGATGGAGAACAAGAAAGCCAGCGACCACATTGAGAAAAGAAAGGCATAACTGTGAAGTCCTTCTCATCAAAGATCGTTTCTTCAGGATGGTTCTACCTCACCCTTTTCAAGTTGACACGCACAAGTGATTTTTTTTTTTCCCCTGCCTCCCTGGTTACATTCTCACAACAACCCCGCAGGGCAGACTAAACGAACGAGGGCGTGGTTTCTAGTGACCAGGAAGGGTGGCAATACCACAACAGGCTTGCGGGTTAGGGAAAGGGGCTCTCTCCCATCCAGTTACATCCGCCGAGCACGTGAGGACTCACCTCACCTGGAAGCGGCTTCGGCTCCCGCAGACCGCCAACCGGCTGCACCTGCCGCCCAGCTGAGCTCCCCCCCACCCCGCCCCATTCCCAATGCCGACCGACCCACCTTGCGTTTCCTGCGGATGGAGAGGAGGACAAAAGAGCCACGTTGCCACAGAAACCCCAGCAAATCGCGCTGTGCCGGGCGAGAGAGCCAGCAGGAGAGAGACCGAGGTGGGCGCAGCTGGGAGGTTCTGGCCTGAGAGAAGCGGCTCCGCGGGACGCGCGCGCCTTGGGAGTCCCCAAGATCGCCCCGGGTGGCTTGACCGCCGCAGCTCCCCAATCCCCTTCTTTTTGTCGTTTAGCTTTCTAAGGGGGAGGGAGGGAGGGGGGTCGGCTTGTTCGTTGGTATCAAAGCGACTAAGAATCAACTGCCACTTTGAAGAACCTGGGAACAGATGGTGGCTCTCCACAGGCGTCGTTTGCTAATGCATTTGTATCGCGCCTTTTCTAAGGTGGTGGTGGTTGTGGTTGTGGTGGTTGTTCAGTCGCTAAGTCGCGTCCGACTCTTCAACCCCATGGATCACAGCACTCCAGACACTCTTATCTTCCACAGTCTCCCTGAGTCTGCCTAAAGTCATGCCCACCTCGTCGATGACACTATTTAATCATCCATGTTTATGGAGATTCTCAGTCAACCAGGTTATGGTTGTCCCAAAGGGTGCTTTTTTGCGAAAGGCAGCTGGACTTGCTTTGTTTTTTGGCTTGAAGACTTTTCGTTTCTCATCCCAAAAACATCTTCAAGCAAAAAACAGAGAAAGCCCAGTTGGCTTTTGAGGGGGAAGGGTGGAAAGCACCTTTGGGATATCTAACCATCCCTTCTCCTTTTGCCTTTAATCTTTCCCAACATCAGGGTCTTTTCCAGTGAATTCTCTCGTTGCATTTGGTGACCAAAGTTATTTTGAGTTTCAGCTTCCGTATCTGTTCTTCCAAAGGACAGGTCAAGGTTCATTTCCTTTAGGATTGATTTTCTAAGATCTCTCCATGAAAACATTTATACTGTATTTGGTGGGTTGGGCTGAGAGAGACAGCCCATCTGTCATCTGGAGGGATCTTTGGAGGTGCGGGGCCTCCCAGGACTTGAACTGGGGTGCTTCCAGGGCATGTGCTAAAACCGAACCTCTCTACTGCACACAGTTGTGTTTTGAAAAGGCCACCCTTTAGGACAGGCAGATGTGGCGATGTCTAAAAAGCATCTGATGGCTGGCATATTATACTTTCATGGCTATTTACATGGATGGTCAGCAAATTACACTTTCACGGGTACTCTGAAGAAGTGTTTCATAATCCACAAAATTCGCCTTGTATTTATGTTTGTTTCAAAAGTTGCCACAAGCTGTTTTCCATGACATGCGTGCCTCCATTTAGTCTTAATACTGTAGCGATTTACTCCATTTTCTCTGGTTTATACAATAAATTTTCTCTGGTTTATACAATAACCAGCAGGGGCAAACTTCAGACAACAGACTACAGTAGTTGTGGCCACTTTGTGCTTATGTAAGCCGCATGGTTTGTCACGATGCATATCATTTGCTACTACTCCCCCTTGCAGAAGCCTGTTGATATAGTTTGTATATAGAAAGGTACCCATCTAGGACAGTACATTTTTTTTACTTCTGCAACCTCCCCAGAGGTATAGCTAAGATTCTGCATCTCTTTCCCTGCTCCTTAAAGCCATATTGCTGTGCTTGAGCGTTTTGTTCATAATTACCAGTCATTCTCAGACCTTAAGCAATTGCCAAAAATATGTTCACACAATATATTAAACCCTAAAGCCAGGTTATCACAATGCAGGCATTATGTTCATACGGCTTAATATGCTCAATAGTCCTTGATGCAGAAGATACATCAGAGACATTTTCTAATATAGAAAAAGCAAGCTCATGTTACCAATTTTGTGTGTGTGTGTGTGTGTGTGTAAACTCCAAGGTTTGCAGACTTGTATGTCACCTGAAGCGGCCAGCCGAAGACAAAATACAAGCCAGTAAAAAAACTGTTGACTGAAGAGCAATAACTTCTATCAGAGATGCATTAGGCTACTTTGTCAGTGTGTGAAGATAACAGTCTGTCTTTTTGGTACCTTGAGGGTACTTAGAAATTGCATTATTTATGGGCAAAGCACTATGTCTTCTACAAAGCAATAAGGAAGAGAAAAACCTGCTGCTCTTTTTGCCATATTTCTCTTTTCTCCAGACCTGTTAATTCGCTCTAGGCATGTTTTTCTCTTGGTTCACTTGTAAGCATTTGTACAAGCTATTTCATTGTGTGCAGTTACTTGTAACTCCCAGATACCCCATTGCCTTGAATCTGGGTCTTATTGAAGATAGGCACCTCCTCAACCATTTCACCCTAAGGCAGAAGAAAAAGCAAAGGGAAATTTGTCCTCCTCAACATAGGAGAGAAAAAAGGAGAGAAATATAATTTGTGATGTTACCGTCCAAAAGTACATGTTTTACTCTGATATATTTTAGCTTATTTCTGTTATTGGTGGCTTACATGAAGGAATAAAACATAGAATGTGTAATACAGACACAAAATACTCCAAACCCATACGGGTTTTGATTTCTTAAATTTTTTACATTTAAAGATTCTAGGCTCCTGATGCTCATCTACAATCATCTCGATGATGAGAAATATGTACAGTAGTGCATAAAAAATCACATTGTCCTGTAGGTTTTTTTGAATCATGAACACCTCAGGAAATGAGAACCTGTTTTAGACAGGATCCACTTTAGATAGAACACATTACTAGAGGCTAAAGGGTTTCTTCAATAGGAAGTACTTTCTTCTTGGCTCCTTGTGGTTCACAATCTGCTCAGGCATTATCTAGTCACTATATGTTCTTGTAGCTTCCTGACTAGAGTACTAGAATATGAGACTCCCCATGAAAGGCATTTTAATTAGCTCAGTTGAAAATTCTGGTGCTTTTGAAGAGAAGGCAACACTTGAAAGAAAGAAGGCCACAACATAAAGACTGCCAATTTTTTGAAGGCTATTTGATGATTTACTCTGATGTCACCAGAACTGTGAATCAACGACTGACGTTTTTAATCTATTTTGGGGCCTGGAGATGAAGGTGGGCATAAGGATCCCTCAAAAGCTTCTCACAAGCCTTAAAACAAGTTGAAACATTGCCCAAATTCAACAGCATAATTTCATGGTGCCGCATCACGTACAGCCCGTGGTCTGCCTATTCCTACTTAAAATGACTGAAAAACTCAAAAACTCAAGCAACATCTCTTCAATAGCTGCGAGTTGCTTCTCTATACCTATTTAATAAAACAAAAAGTAAGAAAATCATATTGGAAACATGCTTCCTCCGCAGTGCTGTATTAGTTTAGAATGCCCTATCGGCCTATCCAATAAAAGACAGAAACTTAATAAATTCACACTTTCCAGCCTATGCCTTTCAGGTGCATAGTTCCTGGTTTATCATTCCATTGCCAAGCAAAAATATTATTTACAGAAATATTTTTAACAAATTTAATCAAGTATGTTATTGATCGATTGATTTGCAAATCAAGCACGTTTTAGACTATATTAAACATTCTACTTTTCTTGTATTTTAGAATCGTGGGAATTTGGAATTATCTGTATTGTTCCTGCCTGCCTCTGAGATGAAACAAATGATCATAAAGAACAGCCTTCTTTCTTTATGGTTTTCTCTATTTCTACAAAAGACAAAATATTAAGGGATACAAACCTTTTAAAATCACAATATACCTGGACTTTGAGTATGTCAACAAGTGTGAAGATAACATAATCTAGCAGACAGATCTTTTGATATTCAAATGTCTTCAGACAAAATCTATCCCCAATAACACCTGAGCAAATTTAGTGGTCAAGAGATAAGGGAACTTCCCACTGCTCACTCTTCAGTACTAAATCATCAAAAAGAAAACAATAGAGTGAGCAGTTCTCCTAACACGGGGGTGTCAAACTGTGTCCTAACACAAAGATTTAAATAACAGACCCTCAGCAATAATCAGTAGTACAACTGGTGATGGAACTTGCTCCTAATTTTAGAGTTTCAAGTGGGGCCCAGTTTGTACAGAAGACCAAAGAGCTCAAGGTGAAAAAACCAAACAATTACAAAGAGCTCAAAATCTCATCTCATTCTAATAAATAAAAGTGCAGTTCAGTGTGCAGAATGTGGCAACAAAAATCCTTAATGCCCGATAGGATTTGAACTGGGGCGAATGAGCCAATGAAAAGATTTATCCCAAACTGTGACCTTTTTGTAGTAAATATTCTAACTCATATACTTAGGCAAGGGGACAAAGAGACAAGGAGGCCAGGCTACAGGGAAGAAATAATTTTTATGTCTTACCATTACTATCCCGCTGATATGCCAACACTGCTTTTCAAAATCAAACAAGTCACAATCATGAGCCAACTCTTGCAGCTCAAGACAAGTAAGTAGCAATAGAAATCAAAATTACAAAAACGTACAATGAAGTATACAACATTTTACATCTCAGATGCCCTGTGGAAGAGCTCCATTTTCAGCTGCTTCCATGAGGCAACCAGAGTTGGAGCCAAATACATTTCCCATGAGACTACATTCTATCCAGAGTTACATAGAAAATATGGTTGAGGCATTATTCTTGGCGGAGGCTATAAAGGTCTGGATGGGAAGAAACAGATTCAGTCTTAATCCCACCAAGACAAAGTGGAAGTAGGTTTGGAAGCTAAGCCATCTTTAGTTCAAGGTGGGCTGTACTCCCATCTTTTAATCTGGAGGTGTTCTTAGAATCTACTTTGTATAATTCTATCTAGCTGTCACAACCAGACTAGATCAAAAGACCCACTCACAGTTACTCATATCCAGATCATTTTTTATTTAATTATTGCAACTCACACAATATGCAGCTGCCTTTGAAAACTACATCACGAGGCAGAGGCTCAACCATGGGTGCCTCCTAGTTTGCTAGAATGAGAGTTGCATTGGTTGCCAGTTGCAGTTCAAAGTTCCACTTTTAAGCTCCTACTTGACTCATGATCTGGATTAGTGCAAGACTGTCTTCTCCCAAAATTTCTGTTGTTAAGTGAGACATCTGTTAAGTGAATTACTACAATTTGTAAGTTAGTAACCCAGTTGTTAAATGAATGTGGCTTCTCCATTGACTGCTTGTCAGAACGTCCCAAAAGGAGATCACATGACCTTGGGATACAGCAATGGTCATAAATATGAGTCAGCTGCCAAGCATCTGAATTTGGATCACATAATCATAGGGATCGCTGCAAAGACTGTAACTTTGAAAAATGGTCATAAGTCACATTTTACTGCCATTGTAACTTTGAAGAGTCACTAAACAAACTGTTGTAAGTTGAGCATTACCTGTATTGCAGACACAGGCAGGCAAACACTTTTTGTATTTGTCAGCCAATTGTTGCTTTGAAGGGTTTTTGACGTATATTGGTGACAGTAGCAGTCCTATCTAAAATATCTAAATCTAAATCATATCTAAGTCGTATCTGAGCATCAGATTTGTCAAGTAGTTAAGGCACCAGGATAAAAACTGAGCAACTGTGAGTTCTAGTCACATCTTAGCCATGAAGGTCAGTTGGAGGACCGTGGGCCAGTCATTTCTCTCAGCTCAATCCACCTCATGGGGTTGTTGGGGGGGAGGAAAAACACATGTTGGATATGTTCGCCATCTTGAGTTAATTGTAAAGATAATAAAGGTGGAATATAAATAAATAAAAAGTAAAAAGACAACCTTACAGCAAAAAAATTCTCAAAAACAATGCAAAATTAACTACTTAGAAGCATTTCAAATAAGTTTATGCCCATTCAGGCACAATAGAATTAAATCTGAACCCAACTATTCCCAATGCATCTGTAACTCCTAAACTGTCTGATATTATCTGTTATTTAGTAACATGACAGCCTACTTTACAAGATTCGTGTAAAGATCAGGATAGTTGTACCAAAGCACAGATGCTTTATTATTATCATAACAGTTCCACCCCCTATACTTTGAAATGTTCTAGAAATAGACCTGGGCTATGTAGGGGAGATAGAGGCCTAGTGGTTATTCTTGCCCCAGCTCCTGCCAACCCAGTAGTTCGAAAGCAGGCAAATGTGAGTAGATAAATAGGTACTACTTTGATGGGAAGGTAACAAATTTCCAAGCACCAGAGTGTATAGTCATGCTAGCCACATGACCACGGAAGCATCTTTGGACAACACTGGCTCCCCTCAGCTAGGAAACAGACATGAGCACCACTCCCCAAAGTCAGATATGATTGGACAGGAGAAACCCTTACCTTTATTTCTGACATTTTAAATGGAGTTGGCCTACAACAAACAAGTCAGAAGCAGCCTTTGCAGCTCCTACTAAAATACCTCCATTTGGAAGGGCAGGAATCAGTTCCAATATTTAACTAGCTTTGCCTCTGTTCATTTCCCTGACTTCCTAGTAAATGAAGCCAGAGTTTTGCTCTAGTTTTAAGGCACTTTTCTGCTGATGCTGGCAAGCTAGGGATGGATCCGCCTCGGTTTCCCTCTTGGGCTGCTTTTGGAAGCGCGTCTGGAGGCTTCGGGAGGCTCAGAGATTGGTTCTTCCCTGCGGCTCGGAGGCTGTTTCCACTTCTTTTGGTGCTGGACTTTTAAACTTCAGGGGAAGATTTCTCCTTAATCACGATCTTCAATAAGAGACATAGCCCTTACCTTGGAAACAACTGCTTTATTCAAAGTCCTGTTGAATTCAATGTTCACAGTAAACATGGGGGCTCCTCTCTCTTCAGAGAACTGCACTATGCAGCATGCCCTCCACCAAGCTCAGCTGACACAAGTTAAAGAACACGACCAAGCCCGCACTCCCAAGGAAGCCCTGGATTAGAACCTAGCTCAGTCGAAAGAATTGTCAGAACCTCTGGAGCAACTTAACATCACACAAGCTAAATTCTTTGAAATTCTAACGGACGCCCTGATCGACTTAAAAGACCCAAAACAAAAATCCGCAGGGCCACTTCCAGAAGACGGTGCGCAAACTCTACATATACTTCTTCAGCAACTCAGACTATCTCAAGAAGTTGGTTGAAGAAGTTGAAAAGCTAACACTGCCATCTTCGTGTACGTAATGGAGCCATCAGAGAACAAGAGAAGAAGAAGAAAATCTTGCTCCAAGGCGCTCTTACATAATTTCTGCCTCAGCTTGAATGGAGAAGCATTCGGGCACTGTTAGCAGGGTAAAGTTTTACCTTCCTGCCATCTCTTCTCTCAATGTCTATTAAGTCGTAGGCCCTTTTCTGGGAGTTGACTTGATGTCATGTATCTATTACCATGGGAAATATTGTATATGTAAAGGACTCTGTGTATAATGTTCCTTACTATGCTACAGTATAGTAGAGTAGAATATATACATACCGTAGTGGGGTTTTTTCTGAATTTGAGCCATGTGGAGGATGTTGTGCAGAAATTGAGAAGGGGTGCCTAAAACTAGGAATACTTCTAAGAACTGAAATAAAAGTGTTATCAACTTTTTTTTTTTTAAAGGCACTTTTCTGCTGATGAAATTCCTCCTGGTTGTCATATTCAACTTTTCTTTTTTCTGCCTTTGAAGACCCGGGTAGCCCCTTGCCCAAAACAAATAGCGGGCGGAATTCTGAAAGACAAAATGCAAAAAGAGTGCACCCTGGCTTGTCTATAGTAATATAATAAACAAATGAATACAGGCTAACAAGTCATCCTAAAGCAGAGTTCCCCAACCTTTTCGGCTTTGTGGACCAGCAGGGGCAGGGAGAGAAGGGATGGTCCCACATACAAGAAGCTCCATTTGTGCACACGGCGGTCGCACGCGCCTGCCGCTCGCACAAATGAAGCCCGTGCATGCACGGTCCACTCGCTGCTCATGCAAATGGGCATGTGTGTGCACGCGCCCACCATTTCCATGGCCCGGTTCTGAAAAGTTTCTTATATTTCCAAACAATTCTATAGTCTTCTATAGTTCAAACACAATACTAGTTACAGTATGCAAACCTATAGAGGAAAAAGATACTTCACATCATGCAGATTCCCCCCCCTCCCTTTGGTCAGCAATTAGCTAAAAGAAGAAATTAATTCTTTCCTTGAACTATTTGTCATTTGAGCATATTTAAATTCTCTTAAACATTTCTGATATTGTGAAGTTCGTCCTCTGAGTAGTAAAAAATAAAAACAGTGAGTCTTCAAGGAAATTATTCATTCAAATTATTAAATTATACCAATTAAATACAGATTGGCTGGTTATCAGATTTTTGATAGTTTCCAAATTAGCAAATTCTACCAATCATTACCAGAACTGAGTAGCAATTTCATACCAACAAAAAAACTGTAACTAATATCTCAGAAGCTGAACAATTCTTGGGTTTATTTTGGCACTCAGAAGTATTAACATTTAATTAACAGACATACACAATGACATAAAAGTAAATAGCTGCAATGCATACCAACAATTCTGAAATAAAAAAAAATTGAACAAGGCTGTGAAAATCCACAGGGCATTAGGATGTAGGATTTTAAGCCAAATCATGAAAATGAATTATCAACTGTTTCATGCTTTATGTTAAGACATTTCCCATGACAAATGAGATTGGACAGGAATTCCAGAAATCCGACATCAGTTTGCTGAAAAATATACATTAGGCAAAAAAACCAAATAAACAATAAATACTATCTTGTCTCCAGTGAACTAAAATATTCTAATTCTTGAACAGATAGATGTTTCCATGCAAACAGTTGTACGTTCATACCCAAAAGTGATTCCAAGCCATCTGAAAAAAGCAAAGCCACCGACCTTGATCTATAGAGCCATTTTCCAAATGCTGGAGAGTCCACCGTACACTCAGTCTCAGACTGAACGTCACTTTCCATTACACTCTCATCTGGACCTGTTTCCATGGCCTCAACATGTAATTGTTCTGGGTCTTCCACAGTCATATCCATTGGCACGTTGCTTTCTTTTGATGAAGGCCTCATTTTCTCTTTCCTATTGCAGAAATTTATCTCAGAGTCAAAATACTGAAAAACAGATGGCAAGAACGTTGTAGAAAGGCTTCAACATCTATGTTTGCCCTTAGTGATGCTTTTTTTTGCTTTTAAGCAGTCATACAGAAAACATTATTGGTAGTGATTTAGCTTGGCCTTTGAGCAGGGAAACCTAAGTTCGGATCTGTATTCTATCATAAAATTCATTTATTTTATTCTCTCTCACTTTCTGGTGAGTGAGAAGTTCCCTGACGATGGACTCCAGCACAAATCCAAAAGGTTGGAAGACTAAACCTCTGATCCCAGTGACCGACCCAGACTGGATCCTGCAACATTATCCTGGGGCACCAATATTTGCATTCATTTCTCATTCATTTATTTTTATTATATGTATATGCCATTCATCTCAATATTGAGCAATTCATTCATTGACTATGGGTCAGTCATTCTCTCTTAGACTAATTTAATTAATCAAAATAATTATCTTTTTCTCTTCCAAGAAAAAGAATACAGAATGATCATACCAACAGTAATCATAACTAAGAACTGATCTTCTGAATTTTAGATTTTCTGTAATTCCATAGATCAAAACATTTCTAACAACCAGTGAGGAACACCTCAGATGTACATTCTGCTATATATTTTAGGCATTTACATGTTTACCTTTGTGCTTTCAGGGATTTATCAAAGCGAAAATCAGATGGATACTGATGAACTGTGATTAAGTGATCTTTGCGGTCTTTGCTGCTTTTGAATTTCTCTGGACAGCTCTCTACCAAGCACTGGTACTGCAAAGAGGCAGAAAAACCAATAAGAAGGTTGATCAGTATTCTGTGTTCTGCTCTTGAAGTTACTAGTGCACTGTTAATGACTATACTAGCAGAACATAAGTTTGATCTTCCCAACTCGTAACAAGGTTGGGGATGGTCTTAGTGTCAGCAGCTGACAGAGCTAACAATAGTTCATGAAGTGAACTATGCATAGGGCAATACCCAAGAGAAAAATGAACTACAAGCACTGCTTATGGTCTTAATTTTTTTATAACCAAAACATTGTGGTTATGTAATATTCTTGATTACAAAAAAATATTGCAGTTGTTAATATAATTAGATTTACATTTGTACTGAACCTACTGAACAGCAGGCTATCTATAGGTCTCATGGCCATTTACCATATTCTGCTTCTCTGCCATTATCTGGAAGAGGGAATCATGCCACTCCAAAATGTGAACATCTAACAAATGTGTTGAAGGGAAGGATCGTTTGCAAGAAGAACACACGTTCCTGTGCAGCATGTTGTAATGATGCTCATAGCTCTCCAAGGTGTTGAAAACCTGGCTGCATCCACCAATTTGACAAGGAAATTCAGAGGTTCTGCAAGGAAACAGAAAACAAGTCTTTACCAAACTGCGACATTTTACAAGTGTTGTGTTTATTTATTTAGTGCATTTTTATTTACAATCTTTACAGTGGCTGAAAGTTGTTTTGGGAGGTTTGTTATTCTTAAAGGAACAATGTAAATAGAGTAGAATTATCCCCATCATCCTGACTATATATACTAAAAGGAGAGAGGGTTTGAGGCATTTAATGTAACTCTCCCTTATGGACGAGCTCATTTCTGCTGAAGATTTTATAATGCAGGAGCAACAGCGTGAGCATCCTTGAAGTCAGGGAGGGAGGGAGAAAGGAGATAAAAGAATCAGAGTTGGAAGGGACCTCGGAGGTCTTCTAGTCCAACCCCCTGCTCAAGCAGGAGACCCTATATCAGGGGTGTCCAACCTTGGAACTCCAAGACTGGTAGACTTCAACTCCCAGAATTCTAGGAATTGAAGTTCACAAATCCCAAAGTTCCCAAGGTTGGACCCATCTGCCCTACAACACTTCAGACAAAGGGCTGTCCAGTCTCTTCTTAAAAATATTAAAAACATCCTGCCTTTGGAAACAGAGGCCTTTATTCCGGACTTCTGGCGGGAGGGGTGGGGGGCAAAAGCCCAGACACCACCACCCCCCGGCACCAATGCGCTGACAGAAGGAAAGACTTCTACAGCCACCTCTCCCAACCTTTACCTGGCCCTTTCGGTGTCCCTCGCGACGTTCTCCAGGAGACCTTGGAGGTACATATGCCGATGGACGTCGCCGTCCTGGAGGGGAAGAGAACAGGATTACAGCCATCGCTTCACACGCAGGGAAGAAACGCGGCGGGCCGCTTCCGAGGCAAGCCGACCCCGGCTCCGAAGGCAAAGGCAGAGCAAGGAGGCGCCCTACCTCGAAGAAGGGATGGTCTGCGGGGTAGCGGATCACGGCGGGGCGGAAACGGAAAGGACCTGCCTCCCCTCCAGCCATTCTTTCCCGCCGCGGTTTCTCTCCCTGAAACTAGCACGCCCGCGCTTCCGCTTCCGGGTCATGCGGAGGATGGTTGCTGGGAAACCGGGGGGCCGGGCTAGAAAAGGTGGAGCTTTTGCCGCCTTGCCCCTAACGGTGTGGCCCTGCCTTGCAGGGTTGTTGTTACTGCCCTGGTGAAGCCCTGAATGCCGCTTTCTATTCATTATGAGCGAGTTTCGGATCCATCACGACGTGAACGAGCTCCTGAGCCTGCTGCGAGTGCGGGGCGGCGGGGAAGGGGCGGAGGTCTACATCGACCTGCTCCAGAAGAACCGCGCCCCTTATCTCACCACCACCGCCTCAGCCCTCGGAGCCAAGGTGGATCGGCCGGGAGAAACGGGGGGGAGGCGGTCGGGGAGGGGAGAGACGGGGAGCAGCGGAGCCCTTTCGGACCCGGGCATATCTAATTTGATAGCAAAAGGCCTTTTTGTATAGGAGGGAATCAGATGTTTTGTAACTAAACGCCGTACAATGATCACTGATAGCTGCGAGTGTCCGCCCGGCTATTCCTCCACAATAATAATATTTAAGGGTCAAACTGTTTTTGTAATCAATTTTAAAAGGGTTAAGTGCCCCGGCATAAGCTCTGATGAACTGAAGATAAAGCCCTCTGGGTGCCAATGACTCATAAGGCTTCCCCTCTCCCACCCTGCTTCCAGGATGGGAGAGCTAAGTGGAAAAAAATATACTGCAGGTTTATTTATTTAGTCGTTGTTTATTTGTTAAATTTATTTGCCGCCTATTTGCCATGGGGCTACTCTGGGCGGCTTTCAATAATAAGAAAAAGGAGTGTAAACAGAAATAAAATAATAGAATAAAATAAACAATTACAAAGAAACACAAAAATACACTAATATGATAACCAAAAAGATGGAGGGGGAGAGGGAAATTGAGTCTGCCATCAATCCAGCAGCTACCTCCAGGTTTATCGGGTTTATCTGTTCACACCTGGCCTAAAAGAGCTGCTGGTCTTCAAAATATGAAGTTGATTTCATATTTATTGGCCTTGCTGACCACCTTTTATCTCAGAGTGAGCCAGGTAAATCCAAATTCATAGAGTTATGCGGAGTCATTTAACCCATCAAGTTCAATCCCCTGCTCAGGGTAGGAATCAAAATAATTCACAGAGATGATGATAAGCAAGGATGTTTTCACCAAGATAGAGGAAAGATGGGGAGATGTGGTAAGTGATGTTGGTTTCTTTAGCTTACGACTTTAACTTCTTGGCTATTTCATTCCTTTTCTTTGCATAATGTTGCTAACCCCAAAGAGGAATAGCCTGGTGCAGGGGTAGGCAACCTTGGCTCTTTTATGACTCATGGACTTCAACTCCCAGAATTCCTGAGCCAGCATAGCCAGCATAGCTGGCTCAGGAATTCTGGAAGTTGAAGTCCATGAGTCATAAAAGAGCCAAGGTTGCCTACCCCTGGCCTGGTGGATATGAATATATAATACAGCCATAGAGGGAACATCTGTAGCAGCCTTTTTCTTGCTACCACAGGATCATAGTTCAGCTGACCAGCAGTTCTGCTTCATGCCAGAGGAAACAGACTTTGTTAAGTAGAAAAGCACTCTGGAAGTTTATAGATATATAACAACAATACTATTATTGTTGATTGTTTTTTTTAATTTTGGTTGTTTTTGTACACCACCCAAAGTCACATTGCTCAAATTGGGTGGCTATATAAATTAATTAAAATTTAAAAAATAAATAATAACTATAACATTTATTTCCTAGGTTAAAATTGCAGAGTTTTCACGGACTCCAGAAGATTTCTTAAACAAATATGATGAACTAAAATCGAAGAACACAAGACATCTTGATTCACTTGTGTATTTGCTGTCCAAGCTTACAGAAGACAAAGAGGTAGAAGGTTTACTTTAGAAAGCCCATATAAAAACAATGCTACTTCTTAGTTAGTTGTGTTGAATAGGAGACTAAGAATAGGAGACCAAGCATTAAAGAAGTCAAGATCAAACACAGTTGTGCAGTGGGATGCAGAAAGGAGTAGAAAACAAGGAAAAAGGGAATTCTCTTGCATTCTCAAACTAACAGTATTGAACTGAGGAATACAGCAAAGGAAAATAAAAATCTATGTTAAGTAACATTAATTTTCCAAGGCCGTGTACAGAATAACTTCTAAATGTAATATGGAGGTCTTTTCAATTGGAAATGTCACTGGAGATGATCATAGAATGCAGGGGATAAAAGAGACATTGGAAATTATCCTTTCGAGTCCAAGGTTCCCTAAAGTGGTTAGTATCAACCCTCACGGGTCAATGGAACTATCCATTGTGGTTGTTATTATTTGTACTACTATTAGTTAAGTGGTATTTATTAAATTTCATATAATAAATGTTTGAGGTGTGGATGAAGAATCTGAAACTTCATGAGGGAGTCAGTGAACTGAAGAGATTGGAGACCCCTGATCTAGTGAGACCGCAGTCAGCTGTCCAATCATATAGCATAGCTAAGTGACAATGAACAAGTCTTTATTTACACATCTCTAGAGAAGAAGAATCTACCATCTCTCAAGATAGTCCGTTCCATTGTTGAATGGTTCTTTCCATTAGGAACTTTTTCTGAAGTCCAACCAAAATATGCTTCCTTAAAACCCATTTAAATGATATAGGGGATCTTCTGCACAAACGGAATAAATGCCATTCTAAAAAAAATTAAAGTAGACATCTTATCCAAGGATGCCTCAGAAGCTGAGTAAAGTTATTAACCGGCACTCACCATAAAGCTAGAAACAAGACCACTTGGGCAAGAAAGCTTTGTGCTACAGAGCCAAAAGCTGAATATTTTAACTATATACATTGTGTACAAAATTCATGTTGCCATACATATTCAAATTCCATAAGAGGTTTCTGGGAATTGCCAGAAGTGCAAGTAGAGACCTAGATATGTTGGTAGCCAAAAGTATTAGTAAGTTCAGCAAATAATCAGGAAATCGTATATGTGCCATGAGAAAGACTTTGAAGCATTCATCATTTCTGAATTTTGTTTTTGGACCATTTTAGACTTTGCAATACTTGCAACAGAATGCAAAGGAAAGGGCAGAACTTGCAGCAAATGCAGCAGCCAGTAACAGTGGTAGCAGCAGCCTCGCTTTCTCTGTCCCCTCAACAACTTCTAAAATGACTGTTCAAGAACTAGAGGAGTTACGGAAACAGCTGGGCACTGTGACAACTGGCTCCAGCACACAGCAGGTCTCTGAGATTCTTTCTTTGTTTATTTGCTATATATAAGCCATGTAATCCAAAGGGCACAGGCACATTCTTTATGATTCCATATTTATTGAGAAATAGGGAGTGAAATGTATTTTTCTAGTAAGCAATTGTGATTTACTTCTTACTAGAAAACCTTTAGAAAGATTGAAACCTTTGGAGGGGGGAAGCTTTTTTCCTCTTTTTTAAAAACAAGATCATTACTTTAGAGAGAAAAATAGCAACTTGTAAGTTTCTTCTCAGACTTAACGTTTTTCACTTTTGCCAATAGATGCTTCTCTTTAAGAAAGTTGTGGAATGCTATTTGAAAGTCAACTGGTTATTGCTAAAAACATCTAGTGGAATTATTTTGGTGTTGGAAGGTGATGTCGGAGATTGCAAATAAAATAATTGCTAAAACCTATCTTTGTAATAGAAACAATGAATAAATTGTGAATGAAAAACATATTCCCTGTCAAAAAACAAAAATTGGGGTTATTTAATATTATATATTTATCAAATGTTATAAGGAATCACAGGGAACATACATACTCTAGTAAATTATTGGGTGGATACTGCAATATGTTATGCATAGGCAATCCCATGGTAACTTTAGTTACTCAAAATAACCCTGAAATGTTTCTTACAAGTTACTTACTTATCTAGTACTCTGTTAACTGTCCTGGCCACTAACTCATACCTGAACCCAGTTCAATATCTTGATGCTGATTTTTAAAGCCCTGAATCGCTAAATGCCAGACATGAATGGCTTGAGGAATGATTCTTCCCATATAAACTAGCCTGGCACTTCAGGCTAGTACTGAAGTTGTGGATGCTTAGAGTGGACTAAGCAATGTTATATGTACAACTTTTAAGCTCATTGTGGAATGTGAAGGTAATATAGACTGGATGAAATTAACTGGTTGGGTGGGGTGGAGGGTTAAGAAATGCTTTGTCTATTCAAGTAGAGATGGATTATATCACTCTCTTTTTATTTATTTATTTATTTATTTGGCCCTGCAGTAAATCAGTTGCTAAAAATATTTTATCCTGCTGTGACAAAGACCAATTTGTCTCATCTCTTTGTGTGGCAAAAGGCTTCTTTCTTATTAGTTTGGTAGGCATTTCACTCACAGAATGCTCATGTCTCTTTTTTTCTTTGGCAGCCTCTTGAACTTGTACGAAAAGCACTCCGAGAAAAGCAGAACAAGAAAAACTCTGGCCAGCCTATCCCGTCATTCCCTTCCTGGGTGTATGAAAGACCAGCTCTTATTGGAGACTTTCTCTCTAGCTCTAGTTTAAGTACAGATACAACTGTGCCAATAGGTGGGTAAAAGTGGTGGATTGTAAGAGACCATCTAATCATGAAACACAACACCAATCTGTTGTTTGGCTGAAGTCTTTCATTAGCATTTAAACATTCAGCCTGTATATTAGTAACATCCAGTTTCTGCTAGTGTACCTCAAAGGAACTGGGATGTAAAGTTAGAGATGTTAATTAATGTGTGTACGTTATTCAGGGAAAATTCTTTTTGTATCTTAATTGGATGCCTTTATAATAAAAAAAATCTTGATCCTCCAGAAGCCTGAACGTATTCCCTTCTCCAAAATAACATATCTCTTTGATTTCCCCATCAGGTACATTACCATTGGCAGCCCAAGAGTCTGCAGTTGTAGAAGACTTGCTGTATGTTTTGATAGGTGTGGACGGCAGATACATCACAGCACAACCCCTTGTTGGTCGAGATAATCGTACTTTTCTAGTGGATCCCAATCT